TACATGAGCTTGTGTCTAGACAGTCTCACTGGGGGTGGAAATGGGGCTAAAATCGCCCCCATGGGGCAAAAATTGGATCTTAGGCAGGTGGGAAAAGTTTTAGCTCTTCCAGTGTTTCTGGCCTTCAAAAGGGGCACAGTTTATAAACAACTCTACAGTATCAAAACGTCATGGGGGAGGGCAGTTATGGGGGGGAAAGGGCTAATCTCCTTAGGGGAGGCAAAGTGGGAACAAAGGGTAGGGAAACAAATATCTCTGCAAATTCCACTCAGACTTAAGTGTATATTTACATTGACATATATTAAGTATGAATCTGTCCGTAGTGCAGGAGACCTAGGTTTGATTCCTGGGCCACGAAGATCCTCTGGAGAACGAAATGGCAGCCCACTCCAGTATTCTTGCTTGGAGAATCCCATGGACAGAGGAGCCTGGCAGGATACAGTCCATGGGGGTTGCAAGAGTCAGACACGACTAAGCAACTAAACCGCCACCATATTAAGTATATTTACACTTAATGAAGCATGTCAGGTTACGAAACACTATTCTACATCACTTTGGGGAGCCTTATGAACAGAAGAACAGGAGAGAGAATGTTTCCTTAAGGATCAAGGCACAAGGCCTCCCTTCTACTAGAGAAGAGTAAGTGGGAAAGACTGAAAAGTGAAGTTGCTCAGTCGTGTCCGACTCTTTGCGACCGCATGGACTTTAGCCTACCAGGCTCCTCCGTCCATGGGATTCTCCAGGCAAGAATACTGGAGTGGGTTGCCAGTACTGAGCAGGAGTTAATTTATGGACTGCCTAGAGGCCACTTCAAGACCCTGCCCTGTCCCCAAACCCCTGCCGTCTGGGTGACAGAAGTGGGTCCTTCTCATACCTCTGATGGTACTAGAGTCTCCTGAACCAAAAAGATGACTCCAAAGCTTTTTGGAGCAATTAAGGAAGAAGAGTTCATGAGGCACAGAGCAGGCCTGGCTCATTTTCTATGACCAAAATTTTAAAACTTTAGTCTTAGGGAAGGAAATAGACCCGAGTGAAAGCTAGCCAGTGATGGACATTCCTAGAGAAGCCAAAAAATTGCCCCCATAGGGCAAAAACTGGATCTTAAAATGTAAAAGAAGTCTCAGCTATTACTTCCTGTTTGGATGATAACTTCCATGATGGGAACTCCCCAGGTCCCCTCCACCACATATTCTAAGTAGCCCAGGGAAATGTTCAAACAGGATAAAGAGAAACAGGAGCAGCCACTGTTGAGCCCTTTGCAGCTCTTATCTCTCCTTGTTTTTAATGAATGTCCCTTCTGCCCTATTGAAAAAATTATTAAAATTCTTTTCTACAGAAGTGGGGTGTGATAACTGGGATTTAGGGCTTTCTGGTTCTCAGAATCCTGTAACCAGCGCCCTTAGGCTCAACCTACTGTCACCACTTAGGGACAGTTGATTTAAGTCCCTCCAAAATGATAGTAAAATTGCACCTGGCATGGAAATAAGGCTTAGGGTGTCTATCGGAATGTCAACCCTAGGATGACTCTGTATCAGCTGGTTCTGATGACTTCTGAGCTGGAATTTGGATGTAGTTGTTTACTTCTCCAAAAGTTACTCCCATGGGTGTGGGTGTGTGTGCAGGGTGACCACAAAGTCAGGGAACTTGGGATACTCTTTTTGTGTGTGTGCTTACAGAGAGATTGAGGGCACGTGGGACAGAGTCTGGGGAATCAGTGGGTTTGGGTGAGGGCTTGTGGAGGCCCAATTTGGGGTGTATGCTCCAAAGCGGGGGGAGCATGTTGGTGTGGATGTGGGGTGTGCCAAGATAAAAGTTGGTTGCATTTTCAAATAATAAGCCCAATATGTTTTCAGGCAAAGTACGTACTCCAGTGGGTCTAATACTTATTCAAAACAATAATACTCTCCAAAGAGTCTGGAGATAGAAAAGCTCATATTTGTTTTACTTTTTTTCAGATTACCATGGATTTACTGCTTAAACTTTAGAGGTCTATCAGATGAGAAGATATCTGATCTAGAGGGTAAAGAAAAACAAACCGAACATAGTGTTAGAAAACATAAAGTACAGAACTACTTAAAAGTAAGTTTCTCCTATGTTTGCTGATTTTAAGCTCTGCCTATCACACACAAACTATTATCTTCACACAAAAACATAAGTTCAGAGATTTTTAAGCTCTGCCTATCACACACAAACTATTATCTTCACACAAAAACATAAGTTCAGAGATAGTATCGTATCTTGGGATTAAGAAACTGAAGCTCAAACAGAGACGAGATTGCAAATTTAAATGCCAACAGAGACCATGTAAATGATTAAAATAAAGGGCATGCCCCTTACAAAGAATGGTCAGTTCAAGCCAACTGCTGCTGGGCAGGAATTCAGGCCCCATATTGCCAGATTGTTTGATTTTTTCAGAGAAGCCAGAAATCTGGATTTCTGCGGAAATCCTTATTTTTCCACGTTAGTAAGGAAATGTTTATAAACCCTGCGCTGACCAAACCAAAAAATTTGCAAAGCAAATTGAGCAGCAGACCTCTAGTTTACAAACTCTGAATGCAAGGAACCTAGGTTAAGGCCTCACAACTCAGAAAGGGTAGGACAAATCAGAATGCAGCTCGGTCCACCTCAAAAGGATCTTCTCTCTTCGGGGATTCTAGAAGGAACTGCACTGAACTAAACCACAATTTTGCTTAAGTGGCTCAGCTTTTAAAGCCACGGGTTCTGCACAAGTGGCAGTTTTGCGGGGCTCAGGAGGAGCAGAGCCAGCAGCAGGAGGGACTCTGGTTGGGCCACACAGTGCAGGGGGTGTGGCTGGAATTTTAGTTTTTTTTAAAGTCTCCACAAAATACAGACACGCCAATTGCTGTTTCCTAGCCATCTTCTGGGTTTAATACCAGCCAATAATTTAAAAAATCAAGAAGCTGCTACCCCACACCAAAAATAATCTAACTGGAAGCTGAATCAGAAACTTCCAAAGGCATGAGACCTCCTACCAGTCTTTTATTTAGAGTAGCCTTTGCACAGGAGAAAGAGTATCTTCTCCAGCAGGATACGCTTCTGACGGTCTTTACAGAGAAAGTGGTTTTTGTCTGACCATGTCCGAGTATTATCACAGAGCCCCCAGACTTAAGTAAGACAACTGCAACTACCATATCACTAGTTTCAAAGGACTGACTGTAGCATTTAAAATGGGATTAAGATTTCACTTCGTTTTCCACTCTGGGCTGTGTAAAAGGTTCCTCTGAGCTGACCTGCCTCATGGAGTATTAAAGAGCAGCACGCATGCACGCACACATAAGCAGCCATTTCTGTAAATGCCTGAGAAAAATCACTCAGCGGAATGGTCCAGAATGCCTTTCTGAGTTGGGCAGACTCAGGGAGCTCACAAAGAAGCTCTGCAGGCCTCCTCAACTGCACGACTGGGCAGCTCCCTGAAGGAGAAAGTGCCTTTGCTCAAGGTGGCAGAGGGTGTCCCTGGGAGCTGAACTCCGGGAACATGGCTGACACAGCCAGGCCCGCCCAACAGCTGTTGGTGAGTAACACCCTGATTACTATACCCCTACTTCACCCCGGGAGCCATGCTAAAGGTCACATCCCCCAAGTCAGGCACAACAAGATGCAAACTGGAAAATGTGCTATTTTTTGGCAACCTAGATGACAACCCCAAACAGAACCTGATTTTACATTAACGGTGGAGGAAATTCAGCTTTACTCCTGTGCCAGCAGCCACCTCCACAAGAAGCACTTTCCAAAAGAAATAAAATATGAGATGCAATTACGAAGCCTTTTTCATAAAAGCAAAACCAAATCAAACCAACCAATGATCATTTTGAAACCACAGGCCCAGGGCCTCACCTTAAAAGTACTAACAATTACACCAAAAACCGGCAATACTTTCCAAGGAACTCCGACAACCTCCTCTTAAACATGGTGTCATAGGACAGATGGAAAAGGAGTTTCAGGAGAGGACCAGGCACAGTGCTTCCTTATCAGAACAGCAGTAATAAAGGACCCTGACACTAAACATGGTGAGAGGGCATGGTCAAGCATGAAAGCTTCCCGACTTTCTCTGAATATGTTAAACAGAACCAACAGAATTGACTGACCAACGTTCCTGTAAGTCTCCAAAGCCTATTTTATACTGCAGATGTCTTACCAGCCACATGCATCAGTGATCAGACCTGCCTTCTGCTCTCCCCTGGTAGACCCCCTTCCACGGGGCCTCCAAAACATCCCAACCTTCTTTATCAGCCTTGACCTCCGGCAAGGACCACACCTCCTCGATAAGTGCTCTATTCAGGGTGGAAGGTGTGATCTAAATTACGTGGGAAAAAAATCCGCTCTGAAATCTCATTAAAAAGGCTAACTAGTCGTAAAGTTAACCAACCATCACTTGATCAAACCCCTCTGCTGCCTGAAGCAGTGTTTTTTTAAACCTGAGGACTCTTGGCCATATTTAAAACCACCTTGGCAAGCCCTGAAAAGTAGCAGGCATACAGCTAACCGAGCCCTTAGTCATCCCTAAAAGGTTCCATGTAAAGTGCGCCGCTTCTTCCCAGGTTTCGGCCACTTCGCTGCAATCCCACAGGAGAACAAAATAAAAGATACGCCATTTGGCTCTGTCCCCCCAAGCCCCCGCCAGCGTCTGCCCGGGTTGGGTGGCCCCATAGCCGCCCGGTGCGGGAGTCCTGGGGGGGGCGGGGCGGGACAGGGGAGGGGCGGCACCACTCCCCACGAAGCCACGCACAAGGGCTGGCACTCAGCACTCGCTCTGGCCCCCAGGTTAAGGCTCTCCATGGCTTCCAGAGGCTGGGGACGATTAAAGAGAGTGAGCTCTCCGTCTCTACCGGGTTCAATCATTTTAAAGAATTAAACAGCACCTCATCCAAAATTTTGCACCCTTTCGGCCGAATATGGAGTCCTTAACACCCAGGAACACTGCCTGGCCAAAGGTTAACTAACCCCAGAGTTGGGTGGGAGAGGGAGACGCCGCCGCTAACCTGTATGCACTCTGTAATGGGCTTTGAGATGGGAGGATTTTCCATAGACTTTCCCACAGCCACTGTAGGGGCACTTGTGCCTCTTTTCGGAGGCGTGTTTCCCCTTCGCAGCCACTCCAGGGTGGAGGAGGGAGAGCGGGCTGGGCGCGCTGCCAGGATCCTGTCTCTCCTCCGGGCTGTGGGAAGGACTCGACCCAGATTCGGTGGTCACGTCGCTGTCGGATCCCATATCCTCATCCGGGCTCTCCAGGCTGTCGCTGCACACCGAGGGGGTCTGGATGGGTCGGTACTTGTTCAGGTCCAACAAGCTCTTGGCGATGGTGACCAGCGTGCAGTAATCCTTCCAGGTATCCCCCGGGTCACCATGTTCCTTGGTCACCTCGCGCTCAGGTAGTCGCAGCCGCTCGGCGTCCGGAGCGCCCCCATGCTCCGGCACCGCAGCGCGGTTCGAAATGGAAACCAGACACTGGGCAGCCACGAAGTCCATGTAGGCGGCCGCGGACATGGTGCGGGCGGCAGCAGCCCCGGCGGCGCGGCCAAACTTGGCGGTGGCTGCGGAGGTTCGGCTCTCCGTGCCCTGGCCTCGGACTACGAGCGCTGCGCCGCGCGGTGGCCAAGGGGGCGGGGGCGCGGGGCGCTTCCGACTCGCAGGAGCGCCGAGGCGACCTCAGCCCCTCATCTTTACGTAACCGGCAGCGCCTCCGCACGCAGCATCCACGGCCCCGGGCTCCGCCGCGCTGCCGCCTCTCGCCGCCGCCGATGCCCAGAGCAGGGCGAGATCCCCACCGACGGGCGCGCCCGCCACTCCGAGCTCGCTCTCTTGGAAAGGTGCCACACGTGGCGGTCGCAAGTTTATTCGACCGAAAACGCCCCCGAGGCGCTGGGAGAGGAAACTGCCAGAGAGGTACACGCCCTCGGCCGCCTCTCCGTCGAGCCAAAGCCCCAGGACATTCACCCAACCACCTGGACGCAGGTGGCAAGCGCCAGACGAAGCGCCAGGTCTAAGAGACACTTTTCCCCCAGTCCACTGACAGCTTCTGAGCCCCTGCTCTTGCCGGTCCGCACCGTGCCGGCATTCTCTCGCACAGTAACAATTTCGCAGAATCCCATCACGTCACAATCCGAACCCCCTCCAATTGGCCAGTGGGGAGGGTGATTCAACTCTGTTTACTTTCTCCCGCTGCCAGTCAGAATGGCCTTTCGGTGGAGAGGTGCGTCTAGAACTGAGGCGCGCGGCCAATCCGACTGTTCCGTTTCGATGCCTCGTGCTACCCCTACAGCCTCGAACGCTGACATTTAAAAGGGTAACAGCCGGGAGTCTGGAAAGGAGCAGCTGGACGTCTTTGGGAGTCCCCTCAATCCCTTAGCCGGTCCAGGCTTCCTGGCTCACGTTCCAGCTAGCGGAGTTATAGGATACACCTTCCCTACTCAGCTGCGTTCTTTCTTATGACAAAAAGATAACGTCCGTTTCGGTTTTCCAGCTCGCAAACAGTTAAGTGACTTCCTGCAAACGCTACAGTCCCAGCAACCAACCTTCCAATCAAAAGTAAGTTGGTTGATGTCACTGACATTGGCTTAGCCAATCAGAAGGGCGTTCCGAAGACAAGCGCTCCACACTTGTAAACTGGAAGAGCTGTAGTGAAACTGAATATATCCTTGTACTTCGTGTTGCTGATAGTAAAATGGAGATATGTATGGGAGGGCAGGGGTGATGAATAAACGCAAAGTGAATCTATAATTAAAGAAGACAACTAAATATTATCAGGCCAAGTTGCCCAAGAATAAACACAAATGAGAAAGCATCAATTCGTTTTCTTCCGTTTTGGGAAGCAGCATACTTTTAGGTAGATTTTTAATAATTCTTCCACCCAATGCATTAACTATGACTAACTCATCTTGAAAATGCAGAGCTGACAAAAGTTCTGTTTTAAAGTTTGTTTTTGTTCTGACTATACTTACTTTGAACACTTCATCTTTGCTTTTGTGATGCGTCTTTAATTCCTTTTTTTCCCTCCTGCAGTTTATTCTAAGTAAGCTGTTTTCGTTTTGTTTTGACGCTATTTTAATCTTCCTCAAATAAATGGAGCTAAAAAATCCCTGGATAACTTTTAAAACTTCAAAAACATTTTAAATTCATTTTCTTTCCACAGCCCCTGTGGGATGTTAGGGTGTGTATGTATCCCTTCCCTCACTTAACAGATAGTAACATTAAGATGCAAAGAAGTGACTTGTCTACCTTATCAGGTAGAGAACTCCATGGAAAACATAAATCTGATTCCTAGCTCTTTGGGCTTCAGAACTGAACTCTTTGGTTTTGTGAAATATTAACTTTGCTTAACAGATTCTTAAGAACTGGAACCAGCCAAAGCCATTGAATATTGTGGCATTACTTGATCAACAATTAGTATGGCTCTTGAGAGTATGATTAACTAGGTTTGCGTCTCTCTCTGAAAGAATGATGGGGTTGTTATTCATCTTGATAGCTGAAAAAGGAATCTAGGGCCAATGTTTCTTGCAGGAGGTGTACTGTCCACAGGATTAAAAATGCATTTACTTTCCTAAGTGGGTGTGAGAGGTACCTGCTTTTATGTGACGCAGATGCAATGAGGTCCAACCTTAACACCGCCCCCCCCCCCCCCCCCCCCCCCCCCCGCCGCCCGCCCTGGCTATTAGCCTTTGTTAAGGTTTGGAAAAGGTTCTGGTCTCTAAAGGAGCGGTCTCAAATTTACCCTTCTAGTTTGAAGGCTAGTGTAGTTTGATTTTGCTTTTAAAATGGCACAGAAAGATATTGCAGTAGGTGACTACACAGGAAAGGGAAGTGTAGAAAGGGGGTGCTGGTCAACTAAGAATATCATCACCACCACTACCAACATAGTAAGGTAGGTACATGTAAAGTGAAGTCATCTTAGAGTTCTTGTATTCCAGTCCCCTTAATTTTAGAAAATAATTCACTGAAGCCCAAAGAAATTTGCCTACTTCGTGATTTTTCTGGGACAGACTGTCCCCAAGGCTACATAACCACTTAGAAATTCCACATTTGCTTGCCCCTCTAAGGTCCAGTACAAATACCAGCAGGATCTCTCTAGGACTACTATGCTCAAGGCCTGTTACTCTCTCAGATTTGCATTGTAACTGTCATTGCACCAGGTACCTTCATAGCAGACAGTTCTAGAGTTAATGTGGGGTTATTATAAAAAACAAAGTCTGTATCTTTTCTTGAAGACTGTATCTAGGAACTTGAATAAGTCAATCATCATAGGTTTTTTAAAAGTATACATTTACTTCTTGCTCTCTTTAACTCCCTTTAATTTTGTTTGGACTGGACATAAACCCTAAACTCTTCCAACCCATTCATTTCAGAATTATACAAGAAGTAGTAAAATACAACTGAGATTTCATTCTTATTAATTTCTCTCACATTTACAAACATAAATGCTACTTGATTTACAACCTTTTTAAAGCCAATAATTCCACAACTGTAGAATGCTTTCTCTTTTTCCTCCTTTTCCACTCATTCCCTCTCCAGATATTTGTTTCTGCTAATGAGTTAGGCAAGGGTAAATAGAGAAATGAAAAGAGAATCTATCCTCAATGAGGCATGATATTAAAAACAAATATAGATATAGATAGTTACAGATGTCTCACAACAACTACATCAGGATTTTTTCTTGTATTTTCAACAATAGGGTTTCCTTTCTGTGCTAGGGTGCATATTATAATAGTTTTATGATTAAAACTAATTTATGCTTTTTTGCCAGTATGCAATTGTCCCAATTAAAATTCTGGCAAAATAAATTATCCCAGATTAATGTGAATCATCCCTAATTACAATGAATAATTTACTAGTAAAGTATACATTATGCCGCATAAATATAAGAACTCTGTTTTCCCCCAAGTTAATCTTTGTAAACATACATTTCAAAATTACACAAGCAAACTGAGAGGAGCACAAGCATTCAGAGACTAGAGTTGCGCTTACCGTTTTAAAGTATGCATTTTCCTCCCTAATTCCTGTCTAAGTCTTGGCTTTATTTTCCAAGTTCTCAAGAACAATGCCTGTAGCAAGAAGTCTGATTTTCTGTGCATCCTAAAGTAATTATCATTATCACCCCTCCTCAGAGGCAGTACCTACGTTGAGCTGATTTTCAGCAGGTGTTTAAATCACCATGGGGTAGGGAACCGGCCTCCTGGGCCTGAGAGGGGCTGTGTGACCTTACGCAACCTCTTAGAGCTATTTCCTTATCTGTGAATTAGTGAGACTAGACTAATACATCTACATAGTCTCTGGGCCCCCCTCGTCTCCCAACCAAAAAAGCCTAATACTTGGGTTTTTTAAACACCATCTCATCTGCTGTGCATTTACAAATACAGTTCTTTAGGGCAGTAAAGCTCAGAATACCTTAAATCAATATTTAATTGGAGAGCAGGCACAAATATAAATTCATCCAAGATCCCCTAAATCCTTTATTCCTTAATTTCTTGTTCTTTTTCTTTCTTCAAACTAGTTTGTGGGAAGTGGCCTGGGGTCAGAGAGGTTGTCACAGAATCCCATCCCTTTTCCTAGGCAAGTTTCCCACCCGAGCTCCAAGTGAGTTATTTCCAGGCAAATTCAGCCCATTCCCAGGCGCATTCCCTGTTGGTTTTAATCCAAAGCAAAGGAGCCCAAAGCAATTCCCGGGGAGCTAATCACCTGAAGCTTAGTCTAATATATACATTGCCTAGTCTCACCCATGCCCAAGGCTCAGAGAGGTTTAGGTTAAAATTGCACTCTGTAGGTAGTGGGTTCCGCCAACGCTGGCTTTTCTCACTCTTTCCTTCTTTCCTGCTGGGAGGCGTGGACGGTGCTGGGCAGAGCTGCCAGCCTCCAGGCGGGAAGGAAGGAGAACAGATGGCCCGCTGGGGGTAGGGGATCACGTGTCGGACCTCACTCTGGGCTGGATCCAAAACTTCTTTCAGGACCCAGGCCCTTCGACTTCAGCGATCCCATCAAGGCACAGAGGGTATTTTGGGGGCCGGGGGCGGGGTGGGGGGGGAGGCGCGGTGGGAGAAGCACAGTCTTCGTCTTAGTAAGAGCTGAGGAATTAGGGGAAGGTGGGAGTTTGGGGAAGACGGAGGAGAAGCTGAAAGAATCGGGCTTCCAACAATGGCGGTGTGCCCGGATTTGAAATGCAATCAGGTAAACCCCTATCTGGTGAAACGCCCGCGGCCATAATGACAGTTAACACGCAAGGGGGGTGGGGGGATCCAGCCCAGCGAAAAATTGCACGACGCCCTACTTTGCTCTCGCTCCACTTAGCAGCCTTCCGCAAAACTCCAGGCCTCTCCTTTGCCAAGCAGAAAGGCCACCCGTTCATGCATATGCAGGAGGATAAGTTTAGCTCGCAGCCCCCTGCGCTCTAAGGAGCCCCGCGCCGCGCACGCTGAATCACCCGAGCTCGGGGGCGGGCGCTCCGCTCGGGCCGCAGACTGGCGGGCGACACAGCCACTCGCGGGCCGCGCGCCCCGGCCTGGCATCGCCCTTTTAAAAAGTCTTCCGCAGGCGGCCGCCGCAGCAGCAGCCGGAGGAGGCGAGTTCATCTGAGGACAGTCCTAGTTCTCAGAAATCCCTTCCCTGCTGGAACATCAAGCTCCCTTTACTGCAGTTGAACAAACTGCCCTAGATTGGGGGATGAGGAACCCGCCCCAAACTCGTGCAAGAAGCTCCGGGCGCCCGCGCCCACGTGAACTAACCTTGAAATTAGCCCCTTCACCCGGTCGGGAGAGGGTGGGAGTGGGCGGGGCCGCTGGTTGGCCCTTCGTGGCCCAAGCTCTAGGGTTTGCGCCCTCTGCGTGCGCGTACGGCCCCCACCACCCTGTTTCATAACTCTGGCGGGATTGCATTTAAAAAAAAATCCCCGGGGTAAGATAGGTGTTGGGGGGAGGGGTTGGGAGGAGGAGGAGGTACATTCTCCATCACCCACGCCTGTGAGGAAGAGGAAAACCTGCCCTGCGGTCCCCCTGGGAACACTGCAGAGTAGGGTGTCGGATGACATCAGCTTCTAAACATAGCACGCACCGCACCCCAACTCTGAGCGCCGAGTGCTGGACTCGGGCGGGGGAGCGGGGGAAGCGCGTGCTGCTGGCCGCGGGCGGGGCGGGGCGGGCCGGGCCGACTGGCCGGGCTGTGCGGGAGGAGATGACTTTGCAGGAATCAAGCTTGAAGAGTTTGCAGGCAAACCTCTCCCGCAATGGTCGGGCCACAGGGTTAGGAAACATTCGTGCCATTCCGCGCTCTCCCCTGCCCCACAAAAGCCACACACACGTATGCGCGCAGCCCTTGCCTCTAAAGTGCCTTTATTTATATAAATCAACCCCCCCCCCCACCCAGTCATAGCTGGAGCGCCCAGTTAGGTCAGTTCGGGGACCCTCCGGGCCCTCTAGCCCCGCGCCTGCCTCCAGGCTAAGCCTGAGAGGGGGTCGGCGCGGCCCTCCCGGTGAGTCAGATGGGCTGTGTTTCCTGCGGTTGTTGTGGAACAGTTTGTCCTTTTTACTCCCCGCCCCCCACCCGATCTCCACCCCCTTGGTAAATATAGCGCTCACGTTTCATCATCTCTTTGTCCAACGAGCGCCAGACACCCCGGCCCGCGGCCCCCGCAGCCTCCCTCCTCCTCCCAGTTCGCCGTTACCTCGCATAACCCCGCGCGGGCAGGCGGCGGGCAGCAGCCTGCCCCGCGGCCCCGGGCAGCCCTGCTCCCCAGCGCTTCCCGCCGCAGTAGACAGACTCTCCCCGCCTTCCACCCCCTACCCTCGCTTCCAGTTCCCACTTAAGTTGTGCCCCCATGCCCTCGTCCCACCCGATATCCCAGTGTTCTTGGGACCGGGTCAGCCGCGTGTAGGTGTTGGAAGGTAGACACCCCTTCTTCCCAGCCCCAGGCGGCACCCACGCCCAGGCCAGTACAGCATCTGCCACTCACCCATCCTCCCCCTTCCCAAGGCCGCCCCCCTGCTCCCCTCCTGAGCGCAGGTGACAGCTGCTCAGACTGTCTGATTCACCGACAGCTGAACTAGCTACGAGCACTTGGGGGTGGGCGCTTCGTGAACCGTCTCCTTCTCACCCCCTCACCCCAGAGAGGAGTGGGCTGGTGGGTCAGGAAAGGCGAGATGGGTGGATAACAGCCGAGAACCGCTTGCTTACTCTTCCCTCTCTCCCGTCCCCTCCCAGTTTCATTTCCACACATACAGCCACCCACCGGGACCGGAGGCGGCTGGTGTTCTCTGAACGCAGGGAACTGGCTCTCTCTGTGGTCTTGTGTTGACTTCCCGCCTCCTCTCCACCCTCCTCCTCCTCGCCCCCACCACCCCACGCCGCCTCCCGCCCAGAGCAGCTGGGAAACCTGCAGCAAAACACTGCAGTCATGAGACGTCCCTGGACTCGGCTGTGGCTGCGGTTGCCCTGCCCTGTGTCCACTTGGGGCACGTCTGTGTCCTGGAAAGGCCCTTGGGGCTCCCCGCCCAGGAATGTGGAAGAGGCCTGCCTCCCTCCCTTCCTCCTCTCCCCCCTTGGCACCAGATAGCATCCTGTGGGGGCCCTGCCTGGCAGCGTTTTTGGCCAGCGCCCTGGGCCACCCCCATGAGTGGCCACCTGTCCAGCGACAGGTAGTGAGAGCGCTGACTGTGTGAGAATGCAGCATCCAGGATGCCGCAGAGCTGGCTTATTTGCCATCACAGGCTGTCCCTTTCCGGACAGGGTGCCCAAAGATCCCTGCTGACTGAGGTTTTCAGGCAGATTCCTGTTTTCGCAGGGACACACCCTCTCCATAGGGAATCTGGCAAAACCTTCCCTTTCCAAGCCTGCTTCCCGGCGGAGGAAGAATTCAGCCTCTCCCCCTAAAGGAAGCTGAATGAACAGAGTTCTGAGGAGGCCATGAGAGTTGAGCTCCAGGTGCCGCCTGCCCGAAGTCCACCCTATTTAAAAACCACCTCTTCACCACCACTGGGCAGGCCACTGTTATCAGCTTCCTGCCCTTCAGCAGCGCACATGTTGCACAGATGCTGTCTTGGTATTTTGATAGCAGAGAAGAGGGAGTAAAAGTCCCAACAGTTCCCTGGTTTCCTTCTGACTCCATCACCCTGAATAAATCCCACCCTGGATGGCCTCTCAGAAGTGAAGGAGAGAGGGGAGCTTATTGAGGCCCTAGAGAGTAGACTTCCTAACACAGCAGGTCTCCCCACACCTGGAGAATTACTACCCAAGTAAGACTGCTTCTCCCATCTGCCCCCAGCTGCTCTGAAGGACCTGCCATCAGACTATACCACAGCTTGCTTGTTACTGTGTTTTGCCACATCTCCCTGGTGTTAGCCACCCCACCCCCCATTCCCTGACACACAGTCCTCTACCCCCCCTCATTCCTGCTAACATTGTCAGTGAATTCCGTATCCTTACTGAAACCCTCCAACCACATCCCTCTCCAGCCTACTGTCATGCGGGTACCCTGGACCTTTGCATCACCAAATGACAGCAGCACTGCTGAACTTTTCAAACATTCTCTTCCCTGATCAACACCTCTTTCCCTTCCAGCTTGTTTAATAATAACCCTAATAACCTCATCTGAACATTTCTTTGCCCCTATTCTTACCTCCAATCTACTTTCCCATGTTCATCACAGCCCTTATATTCTCACATCTTTCCTACCTACATTACATTTCATAGTCTATCACTATATCACCCCTTTGTATATACTCCTCATTTCCTTGTACCTGGGACCACCTGCCTGGCAAAACCCTGGTTCTGTCCAGCTTGACACACCAGACAAAAATAACGGTGCTAGCTGTTGTCACTAAATTTATAATCATGAATCTCCAGTGGGCTCTCAACACTGCCCTCTGCATTTCCCTAGTTGGTTTACTTTCCCACACTCTGAAATGACTACATTGCACCTCCTTTCCCAAATATCCAACACCTCTCCCCTTCCTCACTCTGAGCTGGAAGCTTTACTTCTCATTTCACTGAGAAAAATAAAAGCAATTTCACAAGAATTCCTCATCTTCTACCCACCATGTCTTCCATCCTACCTGCCTCTCTGCCTTCCCTAACTGTCTCACGTATGTAGTGTCTCTGCTCTTATCTCAAGCAAGACCTTGGCACCATGGTCTCCTTCCCTGTTGACTATTTAATGATTGTTCCTGAAATTATCTCATCTCCTGCTAATCAATTGTCCTTCTCTGCTAAATAATTCACTTCAGCACAAAAATATGTGGTATTCCCTCCTGTCTTTTCTTTTCCCCCAAACTTTATTTATTTTTTAAATATATTTACTGATTTGGCTTCACCCGGTCTTAGTGTGGCACATGGGATCTTTGATCTTCACTGCGACCTGCAGGATCTTTTTAAAAAATCTTTTGGTTGCCTTACTCAGCATGTGGGATCTTAGTTCCCTGACCAGGGATCAAACCCACACTGTGGCACTGGCAGAGTCTTAACCACTGGACCACCAAGGAAGTTCCAACTCCCAAGTTTTATCTTCAGGCCAGACCTCTGTCTTGCATGTCACACCTGACTATCCATTCCTCATCTGCACAGGAATCTCAAAGTTAACATATTAAAACTGAACTACTGAGTATAACATAGGGAACTATACTCAGTATCTTATAATAACCTATATTAGAAAATAATCCCCAAAAGAATACATGTATATGTATAACTGAATCACTTTGCTGTGTACTTGAAATTAACACGACATTGTGAATTAACTATACATCAATAAAAATAAAGTTGAACTACTAATTATTTCCTTAATTCAAAGTCCTTCCCATCTTAGGTGAACAGTATTCCTGTGACTCTGATTGCTCAGACCCCAAACCGAGGAGTTATTCTTGATTCCTCTTTTTAATTTATACCCCACAGCTTTTCCATCAGGAACTCCTGTTAGCTGTATTTTCCAAATACAGCCAGAACCTGGCACTTCTGGTCTCTACTGCACCACCTTCATCTCTCAAATGGATAACTTTAGTGGTCTTCAGCTGGTCTTCCTGCTTCCACTCCTGACCTGGTTTCTTTTCTCAACACAACTGCTCAAGAGCTCTTTTAAAAGTATAGACCACTGACAGTTGGATGCTCTATTATTTGCAGTCTAACAGAAACATTTAGGAAGAAATGTTTCAGTAGATTAGAGGCACATTAATCAAACTCAAATCAGCTGAGCGATGAACTATCGGTAAACACATATCAGACACTATGCGGTAGTTTTGCAAGAATTTGGGAGGTTAAGGGGAAAAGTGGATATAGGGATATAGAGGGAAGGAAAGATGCTCAGAACAGTCTAGATTGCAAATATTTTAATATGTTTCATTTGGGAGAAGTTAGAGGTTAGGCAGAAATTTGTAATATATGAAGGAGGACATCACTGATAAAACAAGGTACAGAGGGCAACATAGTCTCAAGAGCCTAGAAGGAAAATGGAAAGCTCTGTCTTCCTTTGAGGCAGAAAGAACAATGTGAATCTGGCTGAAACATGGAGAAGTTTGGAGGTAGAAAAGAGGAAAGCCCTGGGGAGTTCATGCCAGTGTTCTTTGTGGCGCAAAGGAGATGATGGGGAATG